TATAAGTATTCTATAACGTTATTATTAGTAAACATTGTATTAATACACCCGATTTTTCTATAGAATATAGCATATATTAAACAAGTGTGAAAAAACTTAAAACCTCAGCTGAACGGAGCCATTTTCACGAATAACCTCTATTGTTTTTTATTTTATTACAATGATAATATACAAAGATATTTAAAAAACACAAAAGACAAAAAAATAAATTTAAGTTGAGGAATAGGAAAAAATTTACATATACCTTTTCTTATTTCATAAGATAGGTTTTACTAATTTGTGACATTACTGTGAACACGTAAAAAGAGAATGCTTTTATCTCATTATTGTTAATATATAACAATAAAATAAACCTTTTTCAATTTTATATAAATAGAAACTCACTAGTCGTATAGAACCAGAACATAAATTTTCTCTTGTGAAACTTTTTATAAAGAATAAACAACATAATAGAGTATAAGAAGCAATTTCCCAGATCCATCGGATGAGATCTAGAGCATTGATGATGAGAAGTTTCTTAATTTGATGGTAAACAACACTATGAACAGTTGAATTTGCCGTGACAACGGTACCGTATTCGTCCCAGTTATTCTCAAACTATAACACAAGCATTGAAGAATATACTAATTTAGAAACCTTTGTTATTAACTTTAATGAGTCATTCTACATATAAGAACAATTTATGTTAAACATGTTAGAGAATTACCTCGCACTAGTGAAATTCGTATCATACTTGTTATATATATGGATTAAAATCTGGCTTTTAAATTACTTCTATTTCTTTGTATTTTTCGTAACTATTTACTGAAAACATTTTAATATAATTATTATTTTAATGTAACTTAATTCGTAATAATATAGTAAAAGTTTAATATCATGGTTACTGTCTAAAAATATTTGCTATACGATAGATTTTACAACATAAAATAAAAGATTTGCCTTATAAATTATAAACAATAATTAATTATATAATAAGGCGTCCGGTTCAAGGTGTAAGCAACAATCTGAGTCGGGTCACATTCCATGGCGGCACTATTGCCTCCATAGTTACGCATAAATCTAAGTTTTGTTAATAAGTGTGGGCGCTGTATAAGCACGAACCCGTTACATGCAACACAAATTCCAATAGAACAATACTACTTCTGATCTGTTATATAAAGCAGCTTTAACAACACTTTCGACTCAATTCACTTAGAAAAATATATGTATTTCAACAATCTTATCTTAATAATTACCTCAAAAACCCAGGTAGAACTCATTATTGTATTCCTATGATCTTTTATTTGTTACAAATACAATACCAAATTCTAACAAACATTTGTAACTCTAACCATAAAGATTAAAAAAAAACCGTTGTTATATATTAAACGTCTCATAATATAGTTACTGAATTATCCAAGGTCAATGAACTCTTGTTGGTAATAATGAAGGCTAGAAAAATCCTTTTCTCTCCACTGCTTCCGACACCGCCGTGATTAAAGCCTCCAGGCGTCTTAACCCTCCGGGCTGAAGGCAACCCTTTCTGCTGTCTATTTTGTAACCTCGGCTGCTATGATTTAAGCGTATAAAACACGTTCGTTACATCATTGACAACATTAACACATTTAACATTTGTCTTACTTATTTGTACATGTTTACAAAACCTTGTTGAATTAACACATATATAATTTGAAATAAAAATATACCGGCTATGAGAGATATGGATTTTAGTTTGAAAATTATTACAATTTTTAATCTTTAAAATATTGTTCGGGCTTATTCATCACGTCACAGAAGGTGTTCAATGTTTAAACATTTGCCTTTAAGTTGAAAAATGTCTAAAATCTATGAATTTTATTATAGACAACAATTAATTACTTTGTTATTTGAGTCTCAACGGTTGTTTGAGTTTGGTTGGTGTTGTTTTTGTTAATTGAATCTCAAACTGCATCTTTCATACTATCTCAATAAAAGAACAGTTACTCGATGACTGCTGAAAGCCCTCAGTCCTCTTCTTTTCCCATAAAACCTTGCTTGATTAATGTCAAAATTCACTATATCAAGAAAAAAACAACAACTGTTTTAAGCATTTGATACACATTTGATACACTAGTTCAGTTTTTTCCTTGGTCGCCTTTTAACATACATAAAAAATTGAACCCCTTACTTTATTAAAAAAAAAAACTCACCAAAAAAACAGTGGTGAATACAGTACGGTTTTAGAGATAATTTATAATGGTTAAGTTCATAATTTATTATTTATGACTTTAATCCTAACACAATGTTGTGAGTCTCTCATAAACCGCATTACTATGCTAAAATTAGTATGCTTCAATAAGACAATAACAACCACGTCTACTTTAAATAATAATAATTAAAGTTTTTACTTGTTAACCGCAAAATGACTTTGTTTAACCATATTATAATTTATAGTCAACTTTTTATTTGTTTTTACATAATGAGAATATTTATGTAAGAACCCTTTAACAGTTTTATACAAAGACAATCGTTTGCTCTATACAATGACAATAGAAAAAATATGTGTAATCATTAAAATTACAATTACGATTGACGACACGGAAAGGTGAACTTCATTTTGAATTCTATTTGAGTTATAATGAGCGCCTTTTTTCTAACAGACGGTATTATTGACCTTAAATTACGATACAGTACTAATACAAGTAACCATTCTCAAGTAATACTTACTAATAATCGTAATTGCCAAACTTACGCCCTTCAACTGCTGATAATAGATGCACAAATAACGGTAAATTTGTTTCAAATTATTTCACACGATTAAATGCGAACCAGGCAAATGAACTTAGAACGTGAGATAAATTATAACATTAAATAATACAATAAAAATTTGCAATTAAAAAGAAAACGGATCATAAAATTCTCAATAACTGTTTCAAGAACGCTATATTAATTTGATAATCAATTCAATTAAACCAAATGAAGAAAAAAATATATATTATACTACATATTTATGTTGAATTAAGATATATTTTTATAATACATATATTTTACTCGCAAAATCTAGTTTTTATGTTAATAAATCTGTTAGAATAGTATAAATATATTTCCTCCACACATATTAATCGATAATGTATATTAATTTTTACATCCTAGATATTAAAAACGCTAGACATCACAACCTAGCCGGAAGAGCAGTGACCACTAGCCTCCGCATTCGGTTCACAACGGGACTAAACGACGAATTAGTGATACTTTCAGATGCCAAACAACCATAGTTCTCATAACTGTACTCTTATATACAGAAATTTATTCTACATATTTCATTTTGATAGCTATAAATAAGAATATGATAACAACAAATGGATCTCCTGTGTTATTTACTGCCAAAATGGTATTTTACTAAGGGCAAGGAATGCCAGTGCAATATATCTTTCTCTCCCCATTGTCATTTGACCGCAGAGTAGTCTGTGGGGATAGCGATCGCCCCTGATCGGAGATGCCGGAATTTAATTACACTCTCGTGTTTATTCATCCCCGGAGACCAATATCTTTTGGCTAACAACAATGCTGATAAGATTATTATTAATGGCGGACATTACTCTACGAAACATAACACAACACATTCATGTACTGTCCTATTTAAACTTCGTTAATCCAATTTATATCGTTTGCGCCAATTTATGTCTTGTAGCTAGCTACTTTTACCTTACAAATTTAAGTATGAATTCAAAAAGGAGATAAGCATTACATATTGTGTAATGCTTATTATGGCATGAAGGTATTAGTTTGTGAGATGTTTCTAAATACACTTAGTTAACATTCTGAATACATAGTTCTCTATTTTAGTAATTTGAATGTCTGTTTAACTGTTCCCATATATCGGTTACCGCACTTAATGACCACTAGCGTTAAATACTAATAAAGCGAACACTTGAAACATTCCAGACGTTATTATTCCGAGCACGCGATGCTAAAAGCCCATTGCCTGATGATGTTCTTAATTTTAAAATCAGATGTATAAAAAGCTATGTATAGGATAATGAGCTCGCTTTGTATGAGATATATGCCGCCGCTTCTCGGCCGGATATCCGCAACGCTTCGGCGCATAAAACGCACTTTGAGTTATTTAATTTTATAGATAACATTCCATGTCTGTTCCTTGAATTGTTGAAAAAATGAGAGTACGTAACAAAATGTTTATTAAAGTTTATTAAGCTTGAATCAAAAGTGATTTTTAACGATAAAGCTGGACATTGTTGAAACAAAATCTGTAAATATAACTTAATTTGAGTCTATCTCAAATCTCTTGATTGTTTGGTAAAGACATGGATAAAGACGTCAATGTTTAATACAGCAACGGTAGACCTTACATAGATAAAACATCATGAACATGAATGCAAAACAATTAGAGTATAACTGGTATAGACACACTGATCGCCGGATGTTAGCTGTTTGCTTGACCTAAACCCACGCTGAGTGGGTGTCAACCTGGTGGTCGATCTTAGTATGGTCACTTGACAACTGCACAGCTACTTCTTTATACATATATGTATGCGTTAAACGGTCCACGTTGAATCATAAACCTATTTTCAGATTTATAAGGCTTTGTTAATAACTTAGATTGCTTGCTAACCCTATTTTTTAAAATATGCAACCATTGCATTTATGAAACGAGTACATAATAATGAAATTACAATAAAGATTTCGACATAAACGATTTGATGTCAAATGACACTACGAAGAATTTCGTTATCTTCGCCAAAAACATTAAAAGATAAGAGGTACTTAACCCTATTTGCGAGTGAGTTGGTGGCTGGTTACTTTACCGTTTTAAGATAAGAATTATGGATAAAGTTGTTACATTTATTCAACTTAGAATATTCGTTATATTGTCAACTAAAGATTCGTAACTCATTAATAACATATGTTTGAATCTTTGAAGTTCAATAGAAAATTTATCATTGATTTCCATAAAGAGTAAAGATTTAATTGTGTCTGAGGGATACAAGTTTACTCAATATGTCATTGATCATTTCAGTAATATGGGTGCCCCAGCATGGGGGTCCCGTGGTGGCGATCGTCCCCGCCTGCTTCGGATGACGCCTCTGCGACACAGTTTTGCCGCACCAGCCACGCCGCCGGCGCAGCAACAACGCACACATGACTACGCATCTGATGCTGATAGTAACAAAAAAGGTATATTTCCTTTTGTATGGTTAAGTAAAAATAATCTGCAGATCAAAATCAGTTTTCAATTATATTATTGGTATTTATTGAAGTTAGCCTTAATGTTTTTATAATACAAGTAATGATTATATCAGTAAACATGTAATTGAACTTTATACAAGTTTACCAATAATAAATTTATCAAGTTTATTTTATATTTATAATCTTGACCTCCTTAGTATCAAAATGTCGTTGAAAGTTACAAACATGAAAAACCGGTTAAAACGATGGTCACTAAGTTGTAAATAATTATGTCATCTTATTCGTTATTTCAGAAGAAAGCTGGAATGCCAACTTGTCACAGAGATGGAGAAAGTTACGACGTAGGTGTTCCCGACTACGGCCTGGATCTGGTAATCGCGAAGCAAGTCCCGTACGATGCTCTCCATCACCACCGCGACCACAACCACAATGTTCACCTCCACCCCCATCAAAACTGTCATTTAGACATCGCGGCAAAGTTTACACAACCGCTTCTTTACGTGTCACCAGCGGAGCACCGGACTTGCTCAGAGCGCTTGGGAAATTAGGAGGAGGATTAAGAAGACGTGCACTTTCCGCACATGACGTGCTCACACCACCTCAACCGCAACAACCAGCAACTTTTTATGTTCCTAGTCCAAGTACAACTCGGTCTCCCTCGTCACCATTGTCTCCCAGGGAGGCTACAGTTCGCAGACGATGTAGCTCCCCTAATGTGTATAGACCCAAAGATGTACCTAGAGATCGAGCACCGCTTATATCTCAAGAAGATGAAAGTCGAGACGTTGTAGATTATAACTACACACCTGAAAGAAGAAAACCTCACAAAGAGATAAGAAGTCGACCATACAGCGAAAACGTAGAAATAGATCCTAAATTCAAAAATGGCTATAATCGTCTCACCCCAGAACCTACTGAGAGACTGTGGGAAGAGCCTTATCGCCTACCCCGTGTACAGTCCGTCAAGAACCTATTCAACAATTAAGAAACTGTGTAGCTGAGTTAAGAGTTAGTACTACACCACGAGCGCCACGCCCTCCTCCGGCTCCTACATCCCCGCAGAAAATAGTTAAACGACCGCCAGCTCCTGAACCCCGAGATTCAAATACCTTTGAGGTATTTATTTGTTTTTCAGAGTCTCATTTTTATATTGAAAAGTAGTATAGTAGCAGGAATAGAAAGATGGACATCCTTATCTATAGTTATTATATTTTTACTCTCTGATTATTATAACTATTATTTTATGACATTTGCTTTTAAGAGCTTGTACTAATTTTAATTGATTTTTAATGTAAGATAAGATTATATAGGTAAATTTAAAATATATAATAAGAGATATATTATGGAACTATTATTATAGATTTTATATTCTATAATCTATAATAATAGTTATTTTCTCTACCCTACTTTACAATGTATGATAGTGACAGTTTTGTCGTCTTGCAAGTTACATACATACCTACCTACATTAAATGGTGATTAAAAAATAACTAATTGTAGCCTAACTATTTATATATTCCAGGTGCGTTTTACCAAATCAGCTGGAGGCAAAGGACTCGGATTCAGCATCGTAGGCGGACGTGATTCACCTCGTGGGGACATGGGCATATTTGTCAAAACTATATTTAATAACGGCCAAGCCGCTGAGTCTGGACTGCTTCGTGAAGGTAAATATAGTATAAAATCCACGAATTTCATCGATTAACACTTTTAATTAAAGAATAATTCATACATATTCATTAATAATATTTTACTACAACCTCTTTGTAAACTTTAAGTTGTTTTTATAGCAAACGCGTGACCTAAAACTAAACTGTTAATTGCTTTTCCAGGGGACGAGGTTCTTTCAGTTAACGGTCGTCTCACTGCTGGTTTGACTCACAGTGAAGCTATAAGGCTGTTTAAAGACGTGCGTGCAGGACCGGTGTTGCTAAAAGTAACAAGACGTGCACCTACTCGCTGACTGCCCTGCGCCTGTTGCGGGGATCCGCTTCAGGCGCCAAATATCACCAATTATTCAACGTTGTAATGTTTATTAATGTATTAAATTGTCATCGATACTAAGAAGCGTAGTGCTTGTATTCATTGGTATCAATCAAAAATGAAATAGTGGTATTATGCTTTGTACAGATGTCTTTCGTGTTATACTATTATTTTGTAAATAATTATAAACTTATTAACCGTCTCTACGCTATGAGGTTTCCAAATATATATATGTTAACTCGTATTTTTTATGTACTTTGTCTTGTATTTTACAATTTTCGTCATTCCTTGACCATTCGAATAAATTTGTTTCCAAATTGCTTCATACAAATTTTGTTAATATCGTTTATTCCTATCGTTATCTTAACTTATAGAAGATATAGTTTAAGACTAAGTTCTGTCATAATTTCTTACATTTTCAATACATAAAATATTTTTATAAGTAGTTTTGATGTAGGTACTTAAAAATCAAGAAACGTTTTTAAATACGTACATTCGCAAATCATCTGGAACAACACAAAAAGATATAACTGTGATACTATAATTCGGATTGGAACATTAGAAAGTGTAAGTTAGCTATTTATTTATTTTTTATATAAAAACTTTTATATGATAGAAACACGCATAAAATATATTGTACCTCTATTATTGGATTTTGAATGTGGGTATGACGCCAAATGGATATATAGTTATATGTATATAGCTGTGTTAATTGTAATTATTACTAAAATGCATTTAAATTATTTTAGATTGATATGAGAAACGATTGAAATTTAAATTAGATTGTGAATAATACGATTTGGATAGAATATATAATATAAATGTAGTGTCCTAACTTAAGATAAGGTATTAACATTGAATTGCCTAAATTAAATAAAATTTATAAGAATGAAATAAAAGACACGCAATCGACTACAACGAAATAGCACCATCAAACAAAAATGACTCCGACCGCTTTTAAATTATATCTTAAATAGCTCATTATGAACACCTGTAATTACACAAAATTACTGACATCTGTTTTGTAGTAGTTTAAAATTATAATTGTTAAATGCTTAAATAGAATAAAATAGCTACAAATTCGATTATTCTTTTAAAAATGTACTAGCAACAGAAATTTTTTGCATTTTGTAATAAAAGGTTATAAGAAGTATGTTTATATTTTTTATTGCATTTGCATGTTTCTTAACATTTTTGTAAGTTGAAAATCTTACCAAAAGATTCGTAACAAACAGTATGTATAAAGTTATAGAATATTTACTGAGGTACTATATAATAATTTAGTATTATGTAGAATTATAAATAAATGCGTCGTGGTTTTAGATATTTAACAAATAACGTATACAAAAAACTTCTGACAGCATTTACTTAGAGAATAAAAATATCTGTTGTTATTTAAAAAATAAAGAACAAATAATTGCTCACAATTAACATCAAAGCCTCTGATATTGAATACAAGTAACTTGTGGATGAGTGATTGGCAGTTAATTTAAATTTGTTAAACATTATTCAAAATAATGATAACGTTCTTACATGTTCGAGTCATGATTTTGTATTTTTTTATTTAAATATTGCAATAGACCTTTATGTCATTTTGTAAAAATAATTAAAAACTCAACTTAACTTTTGACTTACATTTCAAGGGTCTGAGCATACATATGAAATGAAATATTTTACTGAAATAACAATTTATTAGAAGAGTACACGAAAATTTTTAGTTTTAAATAAGACTTCGTTTTCATAGCATAGGGTAAAAAAACAATATTGGTATAATTATAGTATGCAAAATTTATTTAATAAACATACTGCAGAATAAAAAATATATGTTGATTAACAGTGTTGAATTATGCGATGTATAATCATTAGTATAATAATAAAGCATCTTAAAAATAAGTAAATAATCATTAGTGATTATAACGAAAAAGCTATTTACAGAAATGAAACTTAAATTTTATAAATATAATAATGGTAAGATAGGGCTGTATTAGAAAAATAAATGGCAAGTAATTAAATAAAATTATTCTGTTTACAGAAAAAAAAACAAAAGGAATATTATGACATATTTAAACATTTAAAAATATATGAATTCTAAAAACATGAATGCGAGAAACATTATTTACTGTCACATTCATGTTAAATACGTCAGAAATGATATAAAAAAATCGAATTGTAAAATAAACATTATAATTTTTTTACTTAACTACAAATTGGTTCCATTATTTTATAAATCGCGCACAATATGTTATGCACAGAAGTGATGATTGTACTCTTTTTTAATTCATAATGGCACACTTCTATCTGCTGGAATAACAAAATAAACACCAAAACATGACTATTTCACAATAACAGACTTAAAATAACAACATCGCAACATGTGCCATCGAGACTAGTTTAATATTATTCACATTAATAAATTATATAAAATGAATGACAGTCTTTATAGCGTACATACAGCGGATACGCGTGTTAAAATATTACATACTATGTACATGTTGTCTTGCTGAAATGCTGACTAAAGCTGTATAACTGATCTTTTGTCGAATAATCAAATCAAATCAAAGTCAATGAACCCAAAATAATTAGAACAATGTTTTTAAGAAAATAAGATTTGTCGTGTGAACAAATTTGTAAAAATATTGAATGCTACTGGTTTAAGGTTACGGGTTCCTTAAAACTAAGGTCACTTGACCTGCTGGCAAGGCTTTAAGTGCAGCCCACGCTTGAGTACGAGTAAATCCCTCCATAGCTTGTCCACCAGCAGAGAGCAGTTCTGCGCCAACCAAAACTTTTCCCACTTTGAGCAGCTGCACCTCCTGCAATTGATATTTATATTTGATAAGTCAAGAGCATATTACATCTTACATTCAAGATATCATTCCAAACCAGACTTGGTATAAAAGATAATCATACCGGCAAACAGCTTTTTTATAGTCAAAGGTTTGTCTCCTTGAGGAGAATCTCTTCCTCCATCTAAGCCAAAACCCAATCCAGCACCACCCCCGGCTTTTTCTAATATAACAGTCACAATTGAACGGCCTGAATTGTTGCGGAATTTTGTAACGTCCATTTCCTGTTGTTCTTTCGACTCCGCTGTAAACACAATTTTTAGATTCCGACTTAGTTATTCATTTGAAAGATTTTATAATACGAGTAATTTAAATTTAAAAGAAACTTACAATGTTGAGAGCCGCAATCTTTAAGATTTCTGTTATCAGGAAGTTCTATTTCTATAATGACTTCTGAACGCTGTTCCTGTAATTAGATATTTAATTTACAATTAATAAAAACACATATTATTTTTTTACCTTAATCCCAGAGTAAATAAATTAAAATATAATTTTGAGTTAATTATTTAGTAATTACCTTTAATACTTTTACGGACTGAGCGTGGGTCATTCCGCTCATAGCATTGCCGTTTATACTTTGAATTTTTGATCCCCTCTTGATCCCAGCTTTTGCTGCTATACTATCCTCTAGCACACGATGTACCTTTAATATTCAAAGTTTATTAATATATTTAAACCTTTAAAAATACATTCTCATACACAATTTTTTTTCTGAAAAATACTCACTGTTACATCCTTAGCCTCACAATCGATTCCACCTGCTAATATAAGACCAACTCCAGAACCAGCTCCCTTTATAAGACGTATTACTTGTGTAGTCACCTTCACTGGTTTCTCTAACGAATTATTAGAATTTATCACAGGGACAGATACAGGCTTAACATTCTGCAATTTAACAGGAACGTCATTTTTAGGTGTAATTCCATTTCTTTTTTCTTTATCCTTTTCGAATTTCGTTAGACCCGTAGTGCTGATTACTTCAGATTTCTTTTTGTCTAAATCCTTCTGATTATCTTGAATTTCGTTATTAAAATCTTTCCCCTTTGAAGCTTTTTCTTTCAAAACCGATTCTTTTTCTATTACTTCTGTTACCTGGACATTGTCACTATATTTATTATTTTTATTCGTTGTACTAGAATTACGTTTTAATCTTGTAGTCTTATAGTCAGGTTTGCGCTGTCTGATATTTTCTTCATTATCAGAATCAGAATCAGAAACAATTTTTTTATTACGTCGTCTGTTTTCACCTTTATTCGCTACAGCGCTCACTGTTGATGTGAGCGTCGAAAGGCGATCAGACGGTTTGTGTGTTGGACTAGGAGATCTGTTGTAAGACTCATGCGAGAACTTAGTTTCAATAACTGGGGATGTAAGCGTTACATCTCTTCCGCTTCTACACTTTGAAGAAGCTACAATGTTCCTTCGATTTATTGTATCCACATTATATATTGTTGAAACTTTTCTCTTATCTGAGTCAGCCACAGAACTTTCAAGAGAGCTACAACTTGCTTGTGATCCTGATGTAGCAGCAGAACCTGCTGAAGAACTAAGGGAGATATTTGTGTCCGAAGACATAGATCGGCAAACTTTTCTTTTGCTATATTCCTCATAGTTCTTTTGAGAGATGGGTTGTAACTTGTTCGGGATTTCCGTTTTTACGATAGAATACGTATTGTAGTTGGAAAGTTTGGGAGACAATCGTGAGCTATCTGATTCTAAATGGTCCATATTATGCATAGGTGAAGAAGCTGAAGAACGATAGCTTGATTGAGTAGAACTCATGGCAGAATCGTTATCACTATCCACAACATCTGTAGTAGTGCAAATTCGTATTTCATAATTTTTAAAGTCATTATTTTTATCATTAGAGTTAATTTTATAGAATTCTTTGTTTAACAATTGCGTCGACTTGTTCGTTGATTTCGGGTATTCTTGTGTAATTCTAGCAGGTTTAGATGTAAAAGAATTGTTATAGTTCATAATTCTTTCATTTGTGTCTACCTTTGAAGGCAATTTTCTCTCTGGAGTTGATTCCTTTGATAGAGAAGGCGTATAAACTTGCAGATATTTTCGTTTGAATGCTGGCGAATATTTTGGTATATTATTCGTTAAAAAGCTGGTATTCCATTTATTTTCTGACACAAATAAAGGATTTTTAGACCCGCTTTTACTTTCCTTTGTTGTTTGGATTTGTGAGAAATTATGAAGTAAAGTTTTTGGTGGTGGATCCTTGACCTTAATTTCAGGCAAGTCTACAATAGGAGCTTGAACTTCAGGTATTACCAAACCACGCAACTTTGACATTGACTTCTTTCTTTGCTCTATCAAATACTCAAGATTAGATTTATGTGAAGCAGAATTTTTGTTGCCGTTATCATCACTTATACTACGTGCATGATAAATAGATTTATTAGGTGATATATTAGTAGGCAAAGTTGTCGTACTCCCATAGAATAAGGGTTTACCGAACATATCTGATGGCTTTGACCTATAACCTTTCTTTTCGATACGTGAGTTTTCCAAAGCACCAAGCACCTCAGGTCTGTCTAAGTTCCGTTTATATGACCGAGGTGTCTCATCCAAATTATCTTGAGATTTTGTTAGACGTCGATCCAAGGATGATATCTCTGTGTAATCATTTTTAAAAGAAGGTGCATTTTTTCTTACTATCGAATGTGATCTGACCGGTAACGTACCACACTTATCCAATCGATCTGATGACGCAGCGAGGTCAACAGAGAACATCGCAATTTTATCTTTAACACTAGCTTCACTTCTGGCGTCTTGAGTCCGAGATGCATATGAGTATCTAGATCGAGTACTTATCCAAGTAGTTGGGGGTAATCTTGTTGGTAGGTCTGGGACTTTTTCAACAACATCAGAAGGTGTCTCTACTCCATCGGGAGGTTGTCGAGGACAAGAAGGCAATGGAGTTTCATCGTTAGAAAGGCTTTTGTCTTCGGCGTCACTTCTGTTAACTCGATCTGAAATATAAGATTAAAACATTTAAGATTACAAATTTCTCGTTAAAAAAATTACCTAACATATCACATATCCGTGAACGAAATATTTGAGTTTCACAATGTTTGGAACACTTAAGAATCTAAAGGTCAAAAATTACTAGATACATAACAAAATTAAAAATACCTTCTTCTACTATTGGTTGCAAATAACGGCTATGTCTAATTTTTATTATACTGTAAGATTTCGTATCCATAAAAATAACTTGTTTATTATACATAACGATCTACAGTCAACTAACGGAAGGATACTCAAACTTATACTGGTAAAAAAAAAATATTTTATGCACTGTTAACATCTGATTAACGTCATTTGTATGCTTTTAAACAGAGATGGCACGCTTTAGCATATTTGTACAAGTGTAGTAAGTACTCCAATTCGATATTGTTTTAAACAATTGTACGTCCTTACCAAGAACATTGAAACACTTTGCTTAGAAAAAAAATTGGGATATCTATAATAACACTTATTTCAATTACTCATCCATCTTAGGCTCTACTAGGCCAAATTGTACATATATACGGTATAAACTATTTACTACGACGGACTAGAACGTCAACAAGTTATTGGATATTATTTGAAATTATTCATTAGGGAAAAGTACAAGCGTACATACAGGTATCATTAGTTTTGAGGGTTATTTACCAATAAATCTAGGGAACGGGGTAAACTAAATTTACTAAATAAACTAAATTTATTTATATATATATATATTTTTTGGATTTTCACATACGTCCACGAGTAATTTAAACTAAATTTTTTGATATGTATGCATAACCTTTGTACATAATTTATTTTGTAACGTTCTTACTCTCTTCAATTACATTGAAAAAAATCTTTGACGATGTTATCTTTAATACATCATAAAATCTATAATATAAGAATAACGTAATTACATTTAAACTAGTACTTGATCTTGAAAAAAAAGTTGTCTTTTTGTTGGCACTAGAGGGCCGACTCCGTGGGCGATGTACTTCTATATTCTATGTATACTGATTATATACGGATCAGATCTCCCAGTCAATGTAAATGTACTAAATAAAACCTAGATATTTTATTTCCAACTTTTCTATGTTTTAATTTAAATAAAATTTTAAGAAAGAATTTTTATTTGCTTTATACCTATAATACAACTGTAATCAAAAAAATTAATTAATTAAAAAGACCAAACAATTATTAAAACTTAATATATAATTCACTATAAGTGATGTAAAATGTGGAAAGTTAAAATGTTTTTTACTGATTTGAAACTATACATAGGTAGGTAAGTAGAGCTATCGACCATATTGTTGATTTTAGAGAGAAATCTCCTTGTGTACTGTAATCCCTTTCCTTGTTAACGAATTGTATTTTTTATAGTTCAGTAAGTTTTAGATATCTTGAGTCCATAAAAATTTATTAACATGTAGATTTTATTAAGATCTGAATCAGTAGTAAAACGAAAACCTTCTCATCTTACAAAGTCATTTATCTCTTTCAAACCGTAACAGGTTCCGAAGATCTTTTTTTACGTGATTCATTTTGGATCCTAGGAATTAAACGAATAAAATTCTTTGGTCAAAATAGTTTATTTTTTCAACTGTTGGTTTTCATTTAAAGCCTATATTTGTATTAGTAAAGATGTTAAGTTGGGCTGACGTATCAATCTAGGTATCTTGTTGATGATCCAACTACAATACTATCTTAGTCATTGCTCGTCATCCTTTTTAGCACCAATTCCAGAATAATCATAATTTTGAAAATCGCCAACAACATATATAAGGAATGTGTAATAGTTTAAATTTTTTGGGAAACTTTCATTGTTCTTACTAGTTTCTTATTAGATTAGTGCAATGTGTTTTTTTTTTGGAAAACACTGAAATCTGGTTGGTTAGAGACAAAATAAAATTTCTTTGTAATTAAATATACTATATATCTAAATAAATCCAATATTACCTATGAGCGACATGGAACGCCGAGGCATCAAAGTGAAAAGCGGGGATCCCAAATTAAACGTCATTTTAAATTCATAACACTACACTTCCATTTACCAAACCTGTTTCTGTTATACATCCATTCATAAAACGTTTACTTTCGTCTTAAAAAAAAACAACGTACACATTGTCACTTCAATGAGAACAAAAGCTGATCACAAAAAAAAAATTATCGATTTTATGAACCATCACGTTAAGTATGCAAAACATTTCTATTAAACACCGAAATTACTGTTATTTAACGTGGACTGGACATGTGTGGCGCCGGCGGTCAGACAACGAGATAACAACGTGCGGTCCGCCGCGGCGGGGCGCGTTGCACTGAATCGGTTCGGACTTTGCAGAATTTTGCAGCGTCCGCGTCGCCGCCCTTGACGGGGGCGTTGCTCCGAGGCAGGGACGAACGAGCTGCGCACGCGACTCCCCTCATCCCACCACCCGTGTAATACCTCATGGATCCCTATAGCATTAAACTTTGTGATTTCAACCGTCACTATAAGAATTTCTTGTAAAAAGTTGCACTTCTACAACTTTTTATTATAGATTTTTAGTAGCATTTACGCTAGGGGTATATTTTTTCTGATATTATTAAGAAAACATTTTAAACCCGTGTGGAAATAAATAAAAAAAATAAAACGTACTTTTAAAGCTTACATTAACATCAAACAGTGGTATGTGAAGCCGACAATACGTAAACAGATAACAAATCGCAAAAGTCAGGGTCGAGGCCTGAAGCCTTATTAGGAAAGAGGTTTTAGCCTATTATAGTTACTTTGGATGATTACATTAAACCTTTGAAAGAAAATGACATTTGTGTCAAACCAGAAAGTTAAATATATAGAGGCAATACAGGAGAGAATGCGCATAAATGTCGTCGCCGTGGCAGCGCAGGATGGAATGCTGCCTCCGCCGCCCCTCGCAATCCGGACGCGGCCTTTAAACCACTCCGACGTGTTTGCCGACTTGTTTGCACATTTTTTTAAGTTTCCCCTTTTTAAACTACCATATTATATCATATGGATTATGGGCACCATTATTACCTTATTACAATAATTCTTGATTCTTATTTTCATATAGTAAAATATATGTCCGTGTGAATCGAGTTAAGAATGCGAACCTTATGAATAAAATTATAAATTTTTATAAAGATGAGTTCCTCTACCTTTTGATATTTGCTCAGTAACTAATTATTATGATTGAATTCATAGATTATTATTCAAGTACAACTAGAACCGATCTATGAAATGGATAAGTGAAAGAAGGTTCAATCGATTTCACTTTCAAAACTAAATTAACTTTCTCGAGTGACATGTATTATATAATCAGTTTTATCTTATACTGCCTTCCATACACTAACATCAATATCTTTCGTTCAAATCTTAAGGTCACCTCACCTCATTTTTAAATCAATTCTTTAAGATACGAGTGTAAGTTGTACATATACACATAATAAAATGCAAAGACATTTTTTTATACCAATTTAAACAATAAAGTTATATGTTGAAATGTATATTTTTTAATATTTTAGTACACAAATAATTTTTAATCTCACATTTAATTTACACTTACTAAACCTGACGATGAATGAAACAAAATGAGTTTAAATAAACGTGATATTTTTTGGCGTCGTATTAAAAGTTTGTGATGGCATGCGGGCAAACTGACACGAGCCTCTAAGAACTGTTAAATCTATTTAAGAAGTAATGCAGCCTCCTTTGTCTCGATCTTTTGAATAGTAAGTCTTTATAACTTCGTAGTAAATTGATTCTGTACCTTTCTGTACAGCATCTAGAATTTTGGGCGGCATGTACTTAAACAAAGAGACGTTGAACGAAATATTGGTTTGAAATTCCTTTTATAAGCGATATTTATTTAAAGATCATAAGGGTGTTCGAGTATAATGATTGCCAATCAAACATAAAACGCTATTTAATTGTAGTACCGGAACAATGAAAGCAGACGGCAAGTCGCGGTCGTTACCTTAATGGTCGTGCAGGATTCCAGACCACCTTACTTTCCTCGAGAGAATCCATTTGTGAACACATTCTATAATTGGAATATTTATGAAAACGAATATCTCAGTATTACGGTCATGAGAACTTCGTAATTAAAGATTCACTCCATTCATATTACGATCACATACTTGAGTTTTTATTTAATATGCTAAAATTATATAATTTTTATATAACAATATTCATATATTGTACATGTAGAAAATATAATTTAATTTAGGCATATTCAACAGCTTTTGGAACTGGTTGCAGGGAAATAGAATTTGAGAGTTTTGTTTGAAAATTTGTTGGAACAAATTTAATTAACAAACAAAACATCAGCTTCATACAAATGCATAGTTGTAGTTGCCAGAATAAGTTATTCAAGTTATTTAAATAATTAACTATCAACCACGTAGGCTTTAGGAAACTCAATTAATTTAACTGATACTCATCTCAAGTAACCATGAGCTAGTCTCATAACCATCATATCATTAGTTATCCGGTCAAACTATCAATTCCGTCGATCCATTATCAATGGACATAAATTGGCTGAAACACAGTTCACTGTTTACGAGTAATTCGAACGCTCAAAATTAATTTATTCGTAAACCAATTCAAAAAATATATATTGGTTATAGAAGACTTTTGAAAAGTTTGTTTAATCGATATATGGAATTAAATTTTAAATTTATGTAGATTATACAAAAGGCTGTTTTATAGCAACTACATTTTCAAACTAAGATCCAGAAAACACGATCGAACAAAGGCCTTTTTTCAAAATGCATAAGAACACTGCTTGGACGGTGAGAAATATTTCTAATTAAAATGAAGCAAGCTTGTCCTTGCAAGTATGTAGTTAATTTGATTTTAGTTGAAATTAAACTGAAAAACGATCTAATCTGAAAAAAACCTATAAGACAGAAGGGAGACAAAAATAAGAGAGATGAGACATTAGACTAAGTATTATTCAAACTATTAATGACTTTTAATGAACCTTTCAAATACTTATTACCAAAGTTTAAGATTAACTCAAAGTATTATGTATATGCAAATCCTGTATCCGTGGGTGTTACGTACGTTACTACTTGACGCTCAACGATTTCAATACACTTTAATATATTATTAAGAAACTTGGAATAATAAATAGACCATATAAAGGTTTATCGTGGACATAAAGTTCAAAAAGCAACGTTTGTAAAATATATTATGTATAGTTAAAATCACTAACGCAACGCCATATGCAAGGAAAGAGCAGGTGCTGGCGAACGTTTGCGCAAGGTGCACTTTCACGACTTTGAACACGTAAGGTTTCTATACAATAACCACATTATATTATAATCCGTACAAGAATGTGATCAAAATAAATATCTCTCCGGCACGAGTCCATTAAGGAATGTACATGCTTTTACAGTGACCATTTATTTTATAACAAAAGACATTTTAGTATTAAATGCAAAATCGTCGACACATACAAAATAATGTCTTCCGTGATCATTTCTTAAGTTCACATAAATATGTTTCTTAATATAATTAAATAAACAAGACCTTAAAGTGCTATTGATTATTTATATTATTTTATCCGGATACGATTTGGCATGTAGTGAATTACAAAAAAATAAAATCAAAGACTTACCGTCCCAGAAGTTTCTCTCGTAATGTGATTTTCTTTTATTCGACTCTATATCCTTCGTTAGTTTCCTGAAAAAAAGATGAATTTAATTTAACGAATCAAAAACCATTGAAATGGAATACCTAGTTGCATGTAAGATGGTCTAAACATAAGTAACATTTTAGGACCGCTTTATGTTTTTTATAATTAAAATTAAGAATTATATTTTATATTTCTCTCGACCAGAAAAACGTTTATACAGCACTAAGGGCGAACCGTTACATATATTTATTCGACCTTTTTATCGGCCACATTAACGGTTATAGTCTTACTGTTACAAAAACTGGGTGTTTTAACAGTTCTGGATTACAAACAAATATGGATCATAAAGGATTTTTGGACAGAGTTTAAATATCGTGAAATATATATATTTTTTTTTAAACATATACTCTGCTGGCATATCCGTTAAAAGGATTCAGGTGAATAATGCGAGGGTTGAGGAGAGCTATTTATAGAACGTTTTCGCAATTTTACATTAAACAAAAGCGCTTAAATTTTATGAATACACAATATTTTATAAGAAGGACATAACAATTTGAAACAATTACCACTGAATTTTAGTTATAGACAGTTTTGACAATATTACTGCACGATAGTATACATATTAATATACACAATAAATAATTTTTGATACTTAAAAATCAATAACATAACCAAAATTTTAATAATTTTTTCCTATATAAATGACTATAGCCCTTTATCATGCTTTAAAATTTGTATCTGAAACGAATGTGATATATTTTTCAATCTATAAGACCAACCTCATTTTTTTATTGATTTTGAGTAGAAAATGAATTGCAAATTAATACGAAATCATTAAATTTATTTGAAAATTTCTTGTCTTTATCATAAAATCTAATCTATTTTAACATTCAAAGTATTCAGTTTCACATGTTGCAAAGGTTAACAAGCAATATAATAAAAAATAAAAATTGACATGTAAAAGATGGCCAATGCAATATTTTTTTGTCGCCGCAACCACTAAATGACCTTCACCTGGATACATTCTGATTGCTTTGCATATTTTACTGAAATTTGTAATCGGATGCGTCATGTTAATCAAATATTGCCTCATAGATCTTTGTCACCTTAACTTCACAAAAACTCTATAATAATCATATATTTTTTATATGTATATCACAACAAAGTTAAATGTTAACCACTTCTTACTAGTTATGGGGGAAAAAATATCTATATTTTAACTACTTGTCATTGATTAATTAAAGGATTAAAAGTACCATTTTGTAATTTATTCTATTTAATATGTTTCTGTGCTTCAAAAAGTACATATAAGAATACTTAAAAAATTTACACATTTTTTGTTGTCATCTCGATTTATCCTGTCAATTAGGTTTTATGTTAAACGGATTAAATAAAAGTAATTAAAAATCATTATTTACTTAAAACAACACGTGCCATTTATTATTTTATGTTCTATCACGTTAAGATCTTTTGTCAATTACATCACAAAGCAATTACTGGACGTAATAATATGATTCATGCAGTATTTTGTACATTTATATCTTTATGACTGTAATAAAGAACTGTTTTACTGAGACATCAATGACGAAACTGAAAAAACTGGCCAATGTTGACTTAGAATTATTTTGGAATAAGTTTAGCTTTTTATTTATTTATGCTGACTAATAATAATATACCTTAGAATGCAATATTTCATTCGTGTTTATTTTGTGGCTATCGGTAACATGATATATATTGGAGTTGTAAAAGCTGATTTTTTCATATAATAAAACATATTAATGTTATTAATACCCTCTTCCAATTAGTTTGGTAATAAAAATGTAATAAAATCGTAAATACGGTGTCCATCAGCTATCAAAATGTCAGGGTCTTTAACGACGTTGATTACAATCAGAATGCCAGAAGGCAGACTACCGAAACCCGAATACCTAACTAGGTATTTCAAATACCTATCCAATAAGCCGGGCGAAGCCTTCAAAGCTGCATATTATCAGTTAATCTGTAGCTACAGAAGCTTACACATTAATTACAACCGCATTAGCGTGGTTATGAATATCTGTTAATTCTATGTAGGAACATTGTATATGTACATACATATACTATGTATGTGCCTATAACGAACAATTTTTTGCAAATAAAACTCTCATTGTACGTGTGTTTAAAGTAGTAGTCCTAAAATACTTGATTATTGTATTAATTCATAGAATTGTATAGAAGCCCGAAAAATGTCAAGATAACAAAGTACAATATATAAACATATTTTTATTGATAAAAAAAATGGAATTTAAAGATTGAATATTATAAATAAGTAATAATATGATTTATAATTAAATTCATTTTGTTTTGTTTCATTTGTGGGTATTACTATTTAATCGAGAGTTTATTGCATTACTTTACGTAAAAATATAAAGGAAATGATTTTATTAAGGTTTTCAATTTCAATATACGAGAATGATAAATCGTATCATTAAAAATAACATATATACAATAATCTTTTTTATATTATTTTAAACAACATAATCACGACGTTTTGGTTACTTAACTGATAGTAATTCCGAAAATATTAGTTTTATAAATAAATACTCGCGAAAGTCTTCGATATCATTTTGGATATTCGTTTTTAAAATTCGGTAATGGATATAAGATTCGGAAGAACAAAATTAACTACTTTATATTAGATATGTATAAAAACAAAGCTATCAAAGCACTATAAAACTTATGATCTATTAAACTTGATGAAATATTCTCACGATAATATTAAACTGCTGATTTTGATAACGCTCTTTAACTGGTAAACAATGGTTGACTTTTTTTATACATACACTGCCTGAGAATGTATGAAAACGGAGAAAGTTTATATAGTAGTTCTCGATATTTATAATTTATGATATAATTAAAATTAAACATACTAATACATTTCATTATATACATAAAACTATCACATACCAGTGCATTAAGGATAAATGAAAATACAATGAGCTATCCAAAACGATTAATTGAGACAGACATAAAGACATCCATTAATAGCAAAAAATGTAATGTGAATTTTAAAATGACACGTAATGCCATTTAAAATTTTTAATTAATTAACATATCGCGTAAATATTTAAGTATATACTTTATGATTTATGAGTATTTTTTCAAATATTAATTAGCGAATTAAAAAAAAATGTAATTTTTTTTAAACAATTTAAAATTTCCAAGAGCCGAGTTTCGGACATCGATTATTATAAACAAGAATTCCTGACAAAGCTTAAACAAACAACCTAAATAAGTTTTGCAGGAATTGGAAATGACGCGCGAAAGTCAGCATTTTAGAACGCGGTGCGAGCTAGGTTAACCACGTCGTGACGCTCCCTCCCCCCCTCCCCACCGCTTGCCCCGGCGCAGGCAGTGTAACCCGTCACCTACCGGAAAACCTTCACGATTTTATTCAGTTACATCGATACTGGATCGAAATTAAATGAAGGCAAATCACAGTGACAGTTTGACCTTTCCAACAGTCATCCTCTTGTTAGACGAGACATTTATATAACGAAAAATACTCAGTTATCTAAGAATAGTAAAACAACAATAAATATTATAAATCCTTATATAAAAGTTATTAATTTTAGAAATAAATTTCATAACATTATTTGAACAGTATAAATGAAGCTAAAACGTAATATTAATAGTTTAATTTCATTTAAAACTTGACATTTAAAGCACTATGAATATTCCGAAATGTTGGTGCATAAAGTCTTTTAAACATGAAAAATTATTATCTAATATTTATATAATAACCTAAATAATGAACTCTTTGGTTATATGGATAAAAATATCAACATCATTCCAATTACATAATGAGCCAGAAGAATATTTCACTCAAAACGTTATATTAAACAGACAATTTAAAAATTTTATACTAATTCCTTTTCATTTTGTAAATCAACAAACATTATAAGCCTCTGCAACTGTCAAACTTTATTAGTATTGCGCTCAAATTATCAAGGCGAATGGTATTCATAATCGTTAAGTTGTTAGATTTATTCTATAATTCAATGGAAGGAGATCATTACCATGCCACCAAAGAAACGGCGTAGTTTATGAGTTTAATATACGCGTTGAATATATAATATATAATGTTATGCATCTATTATGGAATACCTTATTAGACAAGACTGGTATTTCGATGCGTGGCATTGATCGCATCAGCTTCTCTTTTAACCCTCCTAGATATAAATAGCGACCATTGCTTATACTTGTTTTTTATTTCTTGCTTATTCAAGTACTGGTTTATTAGATACAGTTTTTGTTTCTGTGCTATAAGAATTTTTCCTCTAGTGCTTATCTGTTTTCCTCATACATAAACAAGAGCTGGACTGTTTGTGTAATAGAGCTATTAAATAAAAATATGCGTGACACATTTCAATTATTAATACGACGACTTCAATATATAAGAATTTTGACTTTTAGATTAAACAAATTATATTTTTGAATATATCTAAGGTATCTTTAGTATATATTATTCATATATATTATTACTGACCACGTTTACCAGTTCAAACTGCCGTTAGAGAGCGATACTTCGCAATATCACCTCACATCGTTTGTCATTACCTATACCAAGGTAGTAGGCTTATCTCGAGATCCGCTACAAAAAATGTCTTCGTTCCCACAATACACGTTTCTGTCCGGCAACGTACGGTTACATTCTTGTAATCCTTATAGGAACATATAATATAACACCCGCATGTTATCTCGGGAACAAGCTTTGTACCGTTAGTTATTTTAAATTGTTATTTTTTATTGTGTAAATGTTGTTTATTCGGGCCAGTTGCACGCTGCATAAAAGTAAATTAACTGCAACGCTTTGAGCACCGTTTTCAACACATCGCTTAATAACAAACATTACAACCGAATGTTACTTGTTAAAATGCTAAATTTAAAGCTTTGTTGTTTGTATCTTTTACAGTTAGATATTGTTCGAAACTGGGTAACTTATACCTAAGAATTATTGTAAATTACAAAACGCAAGTATTAACGTAAGTAATATTTAAATAATATA